TATTAGAGGATATGCTCCGCACTTGTGTTATAGATTTCGGGGGTTCTTGGGATCAGTTCTTGCCACTTGCGGAGTTTACCTACAACAACAGTTACCAGTTGCCACTTGCGCACTATGAGGCATTATACGGGAGGCGGTGTCGTTCACCAGATGGATGGTTTGAGCCGANAGCGCACTATTCAGATCTTAGAGGATATGTTGCGCGCATGTGTTATAGACTTCGGAGTATCGTGGGATCAGTTATTGTCCCTTTTAGAGTTCGCCTACAACAATAGCTACTAGTCGATCATTCAGATGGCTCCCTATGAGGCACTATATGGTAAACAGTGTTGATCGTTGGTCGGATGATTTGAGCAGAGGGAGGCTCGGTTGTTGGGTACAGATTTGGTACAGGATGCCTTGGACAAGGTCAAGATTATTCAGGATCGACTTCGCACAGCTCCATCTAGGCATAAGAGTTATGCCGACCGTAGGGTTCGTGATGTTGCATTCATAGTTGGAGAGAGAGTATTGCTCCGGGTTTCACATATGAAGGGTGTGATGAGGTTTGGGAAGAAGGGGAAGTTGAGGCCTAGGTATATCAGACCCTTTGAGATTCTTGAGAGAGTGGGTGAGATGGCTTACAGGCTCGCATTACCACCTAGTTTATCAGCAGTCCATTCGGTGTTAAATATGTCTATGCTCGGAAGTATCACGGCGATCCATCCCATGTGTTAGATTTCAGTTCAGTCCAGTTTGACAAGGATTTGACTTATGAGAAGGAGCCGATGTCTATTCTAGCCCGGTAGGTCCGACAGTTGAGGTCTAAGAGTTATCCTTCAGTTCGAGTGTAGTGGAGAGGTTAGTCGATCAAGGCAGCCACTTGGGAGTCCGAATCGGACATGCAGAGTAAATATCCACACCTTTTCACTAGTCTAGGTATTTTTCTATGTCCGTTCGAGGATGAACGGATATTTTAGAGGTGGGAGAATGTGATGACCCGATAGGTCATCTAATGTTTTAAATCTTAATTTTGTATTTCGAAACCTCAAATAGCTTCTTTTAACCTTCCTTAATTTGTGTGCATAGTCTGTGCCTTTTTCTGAAAAGCTATTATGTAAAAAATTGAGTGATATGTGAATTCGCGTCTTAAAATCTATTTGAGTTGACTTTGGTCAAGATTTTGAGCAAATAGACCTGGATCCATATGAGCGTATGCCCGAAATCGAATTCAGAGGTCCCTAGCTCGAGTTATCACATTTTGTCGAAAATTTGAAGTTTAAAGGATTAAATAATTTAAAATTTTGACCGATGTTTGACTTTATTGGTACCGAATTTAGATTTTGGTTCAAGAACTTGGTATAGGTGCATCACGATATTTTTATGACTTGACTGCAAAATTTGGTGCAAAATAGAAGTGATTTGACGTGATTCAGACGTCCGGCTGAAAAATTTCAAGTTCTTAAGTTTTATTGAACATTTCATTCATTTGGTATTTGATTCATGGTTCTAGGTGTTATTTTGGCATTTTAATCACGCGAGCGAGTTCATATAATTTTTTTGGACTTGTGTGCATGTTTGGTTTGGAGCCCCGAGGGCTCGGTGAATTTTGGATAGCCTACGGACTATTTTGAACCTAGGGAAAATTGCTAGTTTTTATTTCTGCTGGTGTCTGGTAAAAGCTTCTTCGCGATTGCGAATACACTCCTGCAATCGCGAAAGGTAAGTTGGGGACTGAGGAGAAATGTTCTATGCGAACGCGAGGTAGAGGTCGTGAAAGCGAAGCAGCGATAGGATCACCCTTAGCAAACACGACCAATATTACGCGAATGCGATGGGTAATGGGCCTGGGAGGGGATCTGGTGGGTGTTCTACGCGAACGCGAACCAAGGGTTGCGAACGTGGAGGCCAGGGGGAAAGGCCACCGCGAACGCGAAGAACATCATGCAAGCGCGAAGGCCATTCTGGCCGCTTCCTTTTGCTAACGAGAAGAAGACCTGACGCCAGTGATTTAAAACGGTCCGAGATTTCTTTCATTTTTCATAAATCTTCCACTAGAACTCGGCCTAGAGGCGATTTGAACGGAAAACTCAACGCCAATTCACAGGTTTGTACACTTTAACTCATTCTCTTCCATTTTTAACATTACCCATTAATTTTTAGCCCTAATCTTTGTTCTTCTATGGTAGAAAACTAGGGATTTAGGAAGAATTGTGGGTTTTTGCAAATTAGGGATTTAGACCTCAATTTGAGGACGGATTCCGAAACTAATTATATAATCGGGTTCGAGGGTGAGTAAATAGGTTTTGGTCTGAACCTCGGGTTTTGACCAAGCGGGCATAGGGTTGACTTTTTTCTTTACTTTTTGAGAAAAGTATTGAAAATCCTAACTTTATTCATTGTAATTGATTCTCCTAGCATTATTTGACATTATCGAGTCAATTGTGGTTAGATACGAGTGCTTTGGAGGCGGATTCTCAAGGAAAGGCCCTGGTAGAACTCTGAGTTGACTAGCAGAATGAGGTAAGTGTTGGGTTTAACGTTGATTTGAGGGAATTAGGAACCCTTGAACTATGTGCCATGTGAGATCCATGTGTTGCGGCATATATGCGAGATGACGAGTGCTTAATTACTTCCTTCCCTGCCTTAACTGTCATGTGCTTTAACTGTTCCCATGCCCTTATTTGCTACTTGTTAATCGTTGTGCTCGTGTTAAAAATGTTAGATCTTCCTCTGCTTTAATGACTCGTTATTATTTGCCTTAATTGATTTACTTGTACCCTTTAATTGTAATTTTACCAGACTTGTCTTACCGTGTAATATTACATATGGCGAATTCTTAATTTGGTACGCGGTTGCCTTTTTGATTCAGCTTCATATTCATTAATCGTAGAAGTTCTTGTAATTTGAGTTATTGATTTGATTGTACTTATTGTTTATTTGATACTGATATGGTGGGATCGGGCTACAAGCCGCAACATATGAAATAAGGGTGGATTGATATGATGAAGTAAGGGTGAACTTGTACTGATATGGTGGGATCGGATTGCGCGCCGTAATAGGTAAAATAAGGGTGGATTTATGCGGTGAAATAAGAATAAATTATGATATTGATTATGATTATATGGTGGGATCGGGTTGCGCGCCGTAACATATATGTATTTATTTACTATTGTTGATATTATTACGGTAGAATAAGGGAGGATTGTGTTGTATGGTGGGATCAGGTTGTGCACCGCAACATTCTATGTGTTTCTATTTCCTTATTGTGTTGTGTTTTTTTCTCTCTCGGTATTTTCATACGAGACTCTAAGGAGTGGCAATTTTGACATTCACTAGTTTTCTTTGAGGATTGAGCTACTTTCTCAGTTAACTACTTTATTTCGTTCCGTATTATCTTTTCCTATTTTTATTTTATATTGCGTACATGTTATAGTGTAAGTGACCCGCCTTAGCCTCGTCACTACTTCGTCGGGGTTAGGCTCGGTACTTACAGAGTACATGGGGTCGGTTGTACTCATATTACACTCTGCACTTTTTGTGCAAAGTTTGGAGTCGGTCCCAGCAGCGGTCATTAGCGTGCTCGGGTTGGCTATTAGTGAGGAGACTTGAGGTAGAGCTGCTCGGCGTCCGCGGCCCCTAAAGTCTCCTTCTTTTTATTAGCTGTGTATTTTCGTTCAGACAACTTTATATTTCATTCAGACCTTTATTTGTACTATTCTAGTAGCTCATGCACTTGTGGCACCGGGTCCAGAGTTGTATTAGATATTTTAGTGTCTGATTTTCGCACTTTACTTTAGATTATTGCAGTTATTTCAGCTTCTTTCTTATCATTTAACTTGAACTGTTGAAAATGGATAAATTATTCTAACGCTGACTTGCCTAGCAAGTGAAATGTTACGCACCATCGCGATCCCGAAAGTGAAAATTTCGGGTCGTGACACAAACCCTTTTTTTCCCAAAGATTTTAAACAACCAAAGAATTCAATCTTTAAATTTGTGTTGCTTACTAATATTTAAAGAATCATGATAAAGTATAAAGTAACATATAATCCATCATTTTAATGTTAGTATTAAGTCATATAAATTAATTAATAGCAAGTTTATATAAGATATTTACGAGAAATTGGTGCTACTTCATTCTGATTATATTTTCTACATATTTATCGTGTAGATTTTTATATAGTTTTAAAAAAATTATCTTTATTAATAAGAGGTACACGCGCAACATGCATCTTTAACTCAATTTACTAGATTATTTTCTTTAAAAGTAAATTTTTTTTCATGACAAAGCCATTTAAACGATAAAGGAGAGCATATATCAAGGACAACATTTGTAAATTAAGTGAAATAATATCTAATTAGTTGAATTCAAGTAATGTGCCACTAAAATAACTTTTAAATAATTAACTCTGTTCTATTATTTATATGAATACATATTAAATAGTAATAAGCAATATTCCATAATGTTTTGTGACGATTATTTTATTTCTTTCTACAAAAAGTTTTAGTTGGATTTAATTTTTTGTCTAATTAAATTCTTCATATGATAACTGAACCAAATAATATGGAGGCTCTTTTTATTTTCAGATTTTGTCATTTGAGTTCCCAAGGGAATGATGAAATTCATATTCGTACTTAAGAAAATAGAACTTCTTTTTAAGGCCAGGAAGATAGTATTGCCGCATGATATATGAATACAATTCAATATATTATTTTACTACGTCCCAAATATAAAAATAAATGCACAACTTATATATCAAATTTATGATAAGGCGTTAGAATATTTTGTTGTGACATAATTTTTTCAATTTTAAGCTGGCTTAAATAAATCAAGATTTATCATTTTCAAGAGCTTATGCTTTTTAATATTTTGTAAGTCATTCACATAGTCTAATAATAATTGCATAATTTTTAAAAAATTATAAATTGATATAGATTATCTAAAAACTAGTAAATAAAAAAAAAAAAGTACTAAGCTAGTTTGATCTGGTTAAGCTTAGCCAAATGTCCTCTAATTTAGTTAGGGACAGAAAAGAAAAAGAAAACTTGCATTATATTCGCTTCGCCCCATTAAATGGAGTGAAGTCTCAACTTGCCGCCGGACCTTCATTACCGCCGATCTTTCTCGCCGGACTTCTATTACCGCCGGTGAACTCTTTCCTTGTCTCTCTCCCTTTAGATGTAGAGAACTCGAGGAGGACAAAGTTGTAATTCAGGGGCTGGAAGTCCAAGTATGGTGGTGGCATCAGGAACTAATAATGCCTTCGGCAAAGAAATGGCCATCAGAAAACGCATTGCCAGCATGTAATCTCAAACAAACACTAACCCTTCACTTAATCATCTGTCTGTTTTATCAATTTTTTTGTTGGACTTTCTTTTTTCTCCGTATTGCAACAGTTTATTTTGATAATATGTTTCTGAGAAACTTAGCAAAGCTGGAAACTTTCTTTGATTTTGTGGTGAGTAAATAGTTGGTTTCTGGAGAAATGCAGTTATATTTGTAAATAATGGAAGGAGATGATTTTGAGTGAAAATCAAGTAGGACATGCTTAGGGAATGTGTTGGTAAATTGCACTATTAAAAGGTACAACCTTCATTATAAATATTAGTAGTCTCTTGGACTTACCGTTTCGAAGTATGACTAGTACAACAACTACGCGCCTTAATTCCAAGAAAGTTGGGGTTGGCTATATGAATCTGCTCACTGAGTATACCACTTCATTTAAGCTCATCTTACAGGCATACTATACAATTAAAACTAATAATTAGTATTAGAAGTTCTCTGTATTTTTTTATTGGCGTATAGATCTCATATATGACTAAAAGATCCTGGAAAACGTAAAACCTAAAGTAAATGTACTAACGCATCGTCTCAACTAATTATTGTATTCTTCCATTGTGCCCTATATTTGCTAGGTCTGTTTGCATTTCAAAACAACTTCTTTCCATGTTATTCTAGGCATATCGCTTGTACTTTTAGCACCTTCACTCACCATATTTTCGCACCTACAAACTAGTACATTTGGAGATCGACGCAAGGCATGACCAGACCATGTCAAGCGACTTTCTCTCTTTTGTGCACTATGATCCATGCATAACTAGTTTGTGAACCAAACAATCGGTTGGTGTTATACTATCATGAAATTCTCTTCTTGATGCTTTCTTTCCTTCCTTTTTCTTTTCTAGATAGCTCTTATAATTCTAACATGTATTCTTGTATTTTCTTATTCCTAGTTCTTTATTATGACATGTTGTGTCATTCGCTTCCGTTACCCTAGTACCTTGTTATTGCTTTATTTTCACTATTCCTTAAGCCGAGGGTCTATCGGAAACAACCTCTCTACCTTCAGAAGGTAGGGGTAAGGTCTGCGTACACATTATTCTCCCCAGACCCAACTTGTGGGATTACACTGGGTTTATTGTTGTTCTTATAATTCTAACATGTAGTTTTGCAGCTTTAATAAAAGAGAAGAGGATTTCCCGTCATTGCGCGAGTACAATGATTATCTAGAGGAAGTGGAGGATATGAGTAAGTTTCAGTTACTTATTTGCTGAAGTTGAAAATCTTAACTTTTTGCTTAATGAAATGCTGTCATTTGCAGTATTCAATTTAATTGAAGGAATAGATGTTCCTGCTATTGAGGCAAAGATTGCACAGTACCAGAGAGAAAATGCAGAGCAAATCATGATTGCTCAAGCACGTAAGGTTCGTCCTTATGGTACTCTGGTTGTCATATAAAGGATACAGTTTGTAGTAAATGCTGCATGCAAAGCACTAGTATTTTGTGAACTGCTCTCTCTCTAATCATATAGTGCTCTGTGGTTAACTAGGCTGAAGAATATGCAGCAGCCTTGGCAGCCAGCAAGGGACAGCCTACCCAGCCTGATGGTGATGCAGTGAGTTGATCTAAAATACACTCTTAAGATTTGTGATTATTTACTGATTCTGGTAGACCCTGGTCTATTTGTTTCTTTTATCTTATTTCCTTGCCATAAGGTAGGGGTAAGGTTTGCGTACACATTACCCTCCCCAAACCCCACGTGTGGGATTGCACTGGGTTTGTTGTTGTTGTTTGTTGTTGTTGGTATACCCTGGTCAAATATCTTGGAAAATTCTTAGTATTCAGCAAGCAGCATAAGCATCTCAAGCTTCCGGCTTGATTTCTAATTTTAACTTTCATGCTGATGAATAAGCTTTAACTGTTGTTCCCTTGCGGTGTCAGTGATAGTGTAGGACAGCTTTCTCCAACTTTTCTTCCTTCCCAATTTCACTCTTTGTACAGAAAATAAGAATTAATTGGAATATGGAAATCTACCAACTAACAAAAGTATTTGGAATAACGTATGTACTCATCTTTCTTTCCCATGTTCTATAATTGAACCACGGTTTAAGATGCATGACCATATACAGTGTTAAAAGCCAGAAAACACAAAGTTATACAATTTAGTTGACTAAAAATCATTGAATCCCCTATACCCTCTAATCAATAGAGTAAAAGCATATATATATCTGACTCAAATCACAACTGTCTTCCTTTGAGTTTCTTGTGCCCTATGCGCCTTTCTTCCTGTGACCTTGGTTAATGCCTGGTGCATGTAGCATTGTCATATGCTGGTGTATAAACTATAGCCAGGCCATGTATGTCACAGCATGCAAATGACAGACATCTAGGCCATGGTGCGTAAGCGAAACCCCATGAACCAAGTGCCCTGAACTTTCCAACCTTCCCATGCATAAGCCAGGCTTCTTTTTCTTTCTTTCTTCTTTTTGTTATTTATACAATTGAATATCTCATTAATGTCACATCAAATTGGTGTTGCATTGTAATTTATGAATTTATAGCAAAGCTATACTAAATTCATCCAACTATTTATAGAATACGAGACATCCTTTATATACCTTAAGTATAGAGAGATTTTGACTCTCCGGTTGGGGTTTTCTACACCTTCAAATTTGTTTAGTCTTTACTCCCTATCAGACAAACAATTGCGAAGAGGAGCAGTCTTCCACAAGTCTTACTTCCGACAACAATCTTCCTAGTTCCCATGTTGCGTTCTGCTAATATTCCAGCTAGTCCGATATGTTAAACATGGAATAACTAGGCCCGCTAGCTCTGTCATAAAACTATAATGTAGTAGTAGGTGATCCACTTCCTCTCCCTTCATTTTGTATAAACAACGCCGAGTACACTGTGTTTTCATCTCGTCAAATTATCCTGCCAAGTGGTCTGCCAAATAGAGAAACCTACTTTCTTAGGTGGCTTAGTCTTCCATACCGTCATCTACATGGACCTCACTTCCCACTAATAAGAAGATGCTTTCACCAAAAAGAATTTTGAGGTTGGACCATTCCATATAACTCAGCCAAGTGAAACATTTCACTTTGCAAGGCTTTGCTCCTCCAGATTGTTTTCCGTGGCCACAGAAGTGGGAGTTGGGTTTGACAGCAGTGAGTAGCAACTCTTGGCCTTCTTTCCTCCCGAACATTTCAGCTATCATAGCTTCCTTCTCCATCATGATAATAAATAAGGCGGAAAACTCTGCTCTTTGTGCTAAATCATCACATCATGCATCCAATAAAAAGCAAATGTGGTTACCATTACCGAACATGAAGTAAATGAACCTAGATATTCTTTCACGTCCCTCATAATTTCCCTATACATGCTTGTCCCATATCAGATAGCTACCTCCTCAAGGTACAGGTGCCATTCATATTTGCCAGGATCACCTTCCTCAGTAGGGCTTGGCTTTGCATGTAGATCTCCATAAGTTTGATACTTTGATCTTTTTGGAATGCCCAATCTTCCTGCCTCAATTGAGAAGTAGCCTATCCCACCCTAATGGATGGTTTTATCCTTTGCTCCATTAGTTTTGCCTTCCTCATTCTCACTAGCAAGGGAGTGTTGAATAATGACATGAAATGTGTAGGAACACCTGAGAGCTACCGTCTTCGTCAATGTGTTTTTATCTCCTTTCGATAAATATTGTTTTTTGGATGGGCGTGCACATTATCCCGAGTTTCGAAGGTTGCGGTTGGTTCTAATGGTTGGCCCCATACAGATCTTGGTCATCAATAAAAAAATTGGTTTTTTGGCCTTCAAATCACCTTTCAATTTTCTGTTTGATGGGTTTGCAAAGTTTAACATCTTGAACTTACCTCCTAGAGGCAAGCCCAAGTATGTTGTGGGGAGATTAGTCAAAATGTAGACGCTAGCTCACGAAGTTTATGTACTTTTCTTACTGGAAATTTTTCCGTATCACCATAGATATGGAGACTGGATATAACCTCAGCCGCATGAACTGGAGATGTTTCTATTCCTGCTGCTCACCTAAAATTTGCTTAGGTTGTCACTATCTCTGAAATGCTGCACAAGCTTACGAAAGGCATAAGATAGGGTGCCTTCTGTTAGCAGGGAGACATGAGGAGAAAAGTTGGCTATTATGACAAGCATGTGAGTTAACTTAGCTCAGATTATAAGCCTTACATGGAGGATGTTGTCCGACTATGAACTATCTCATGGTTACAACCCATTAGGCGGAGGATATTATATCCTCAGATAGTTACCACCCATCGCCCCCAGGACCTAGCTCAAGTGGCAAAGGGTGGTGGATTTGTGTCTTAGGTCATAGGTTAAAGTCCCCACACCATGCAAAGCAAAGCCTGGTATTTAAGTGGAGAAGGGTAGAGGGGCGGGCCAATTATCCACTGAGTTTCGAAGGCTGCGGTTGGTCCAAAGGATCGGCAGACAGATTTCTCGGTCGTCAAAAAAAAAAAAAAAATAGTTACCAC